CCCAGCCGTAAATTATTTTTATCGTCGGCTGTAAATGTCCCCGAGGCTGCTTTTAATGCGATTTCTATTCGCACGATGGATGGACACCTTCGGTATATTAATCTAATCGCAGCATCCGAGGGCTTCTTAAATGAAATCCTTTTCTTTTCATTTTCCTTTCGTTTTCTTCTCTATCTCTTCATTTGTTCATCGTTTTATATCGTATTTATAACACACAAAGTGTTAGCCAGAAGAGAAAATTCCGACGTCTGATTTATGCAAAGGAGAACGTAATGTGTCGCACGTGATTCACCGTACACGGTCCCCGTAATTAGTAGTAATATCTCGCAGCCATAATTCTCACGGTGGCAAGTAATCGTTAATTATTTATTATCTGGGAATATTAACGTCGTATTTAAAATGCGCATCGGCAGCCTCGTGGCACGTGTGTACCCGCGGAATTATTAATTAAGCGTGAAACTTGCTCGTTTCGGACCGTGTACCAAGGTAGAATAATTGATTTTATTGTACGATAACGTTTCCAATAATTAGTAATGTACATAGAGTTCTATTCCGTACAGATACCGGTGAAATTTATTCGCAGATTTTTGTATACACACGGTGGATCGAATAAATAAACTGTCACAAGCTATTTTCACGCGAACCACTGGCAGATATCGTCTCAATTTTTCTTTTAAGGGTGAACCACCACCCTGAGGCTTCTGAAGATAGTTTTAAAAGTTTGGGAATTTTTTTTTCGTAAGTATAATTATTAAACGAAAAGTTTCAATTTTCTTCAGAGGATATAAATGTTACTTTCAGCATTTTTCTCCAGTTTTTAAAAAGTGAAAATATTACAGAACGGATGAGTTTTCATTTAGTAGTTAGTTGTGAAAAGGATTCCCAAACTTTGCCTATTTTTAGACGCCTAAGGGTGACGTACCTCCTTAAATTAAGTGAAACAGCGAAGCTAATCTTTTAGAGTGCCATACATTTTTTTGAAACGACTGTTAGGGAACAAAGGAGGTTTCCTCTTCTTCTTTTTTTGTTTTCATGGAAGGGGATATTAAATTTTTGTCATTCGAATAGTTCGTATCAAACTGAATAATATTTACTCGAAGCATTTTTTTTTATTCTGTAATTGTTTTCTGAGGAGAAACTTTAGGGAAGCGAAGAAAGGGATAAGAAGCTAGAAAAATATCAAAATAAACGTATTCTAGAGTAATAATCAATTTATTAAATGTTCAAAATGATGTCCATCGGCTTAGAAACACTTATTAAGTCTTTCCTGAATACTGTTTCGAACATTTAATAATACCGACGAAGTAACCGATGTACAAGCAGTACATATTCTTATTTTCACATCTTTCTTTGTTGTAGAAACAATTAACAATTGCCATTACTTTATATTTTATGTAACCCAATAAAAAGAAATCTAACGGTGTTCGATTTGCGAGGAAGACTTGGAAATACTGAAACTGTCTGTTCATCTTTTCTAGAAAATCTAATTTTCTAGTGCATCTAACATTGTCGAAGAAATGTTCCAAAAAATGATGTAGAAGAGCATGTTTATAAACAGAATCGAAATAGCTTTAAATACGTGCCCCTAAACGTACTTAGAATCGATTTGAATTTTTCGCCGTAACTCTTTAACTATCCAGAATAAAGAAAAGAAAATGCTTCAAGTAAATATGTTATTCAATTCCATAGAGGGAA